ATGTTGGCAAGAGACTGGCATGACAGGACTGAACAAGGCAAGGTGATGCTTCCACATTCGCTTCTGCACTCAGCGTATTCTATGACTTCCCTGCTAGGGGTGACCAGGTACAAAAGTCGAGCAATCGTGGTGGCCTGTTGCCTGAAATGACCATAATCAGAATCTCCGTGGGCAGGTAGGAGCCTGTGGAGGACCACGAGAAGGACCTGCTCCACCCACTAAACCAAAATGTGTGCACATTGGCCCCGGATTCTTACCTAATGCTGCTGTGACCCTTCTGAGTCACCTTCTTTCACTCTGTGTCTTCCTCCTTCATTGCTCTCTGCCCAACTCCCATCAGGCAGGCAGGATGTGCTTAACACAAAACCTCCTTTGATCTTTGGGGATGCTTTATGCAAACACCTGTTAAGTGTTGGCTCAGTAGGCCTAGACCTTGTGCCTCCATGGCCTGGAAGCCATCTAGGGACTGGGCCCCTATCCCTTAGGCACAGAATCGGCATTCAGAAGACAGACACATCCATGCTTCTTCCTATCTGAGCTTTCTGCATCCTTTTAGAAGTAGACACATTGTGCTAAACATTGGGGTCCTGCCCAAGGAAGAAAGTCCTGCCACCTTCTCCTTTTGACGATGGGATGGTGAGTGATCCTGAATTTCCTTAGGAACTAGAGGCATCCCAACTGTCCCTCACAACATGGCATAAAGAAGTCATTTTACATCTTGCCCTTTCTTCAGCTCTTGGCTCTTCTGTGGTAGGTTGGAAGTAGAATGCAAAGGTGCCATTCTCTGAGGGATATCAGGTGGCCAAAGGCCTCTTTGTCTTCCTGCTTCTGTTCTTTCCTCCCACCCATATAACCTCCCTGGTCCCTCACCTCACTGAGCACTAGGATGCCACCCCTGCCCTGTTTCTTCATCTCCAGCCCCATGCTCTTGCTCAGGCTCCATGCATTTAGAGCTTTCTCTGTGATCCCTCCTGATGGCATAGTATTCCAAGAGCACCTGCTGCACAGATATCAGCAGCAGCTCTGACCGCCTTTCCCTGCCCACCAACACTCTCACACTGCCACCAACTGCTTGGGCCCTAATAGAAACTTTCCATGGTAACTTCCAGAATCCCTCTCCACCCCCAGTCTTCTGCCTTTGGTTCTCCATACCATTTCTCCTTCGCATAGCCGTGTCCCTTCCGAGCTCCTCACTCATCCCTCTGGGTCTGTGCCCACACTCCCTTATATGTGGAGAGAGTCTTTCTTCTTCTAATCCATGATGTCCTCCATCTTTCTCTCTACCACCAGCAAAATATCTGCTTTTAGTAAAAGCCAGCTCCTTGACTTGGGTACTTGCCCTCACTTCTTCACTTCCACACTACAACATTCTTCCAGAAATTCTCCCCTTGCTGTCTTGCTTATTCCTCTTGACTGGATCTTTTCTATCAGCATCCAACCAATAGACTAAGTCTACTGTCTTAAAAAAACAAGAGAAATGCAAATCAAAACCACATTGAGATGTCACCTCAGGCCAGTTAGAATGGTGATAATTAAAAAATCAGGAGACAACAGATGCTGGAGAGGATGTGGAGAAATAGGAACGCTTTTACACTGTTGGTGGGAGTGTAAATTAATTCAACCAGTGTGGAAGACAGTGTGGTGATTCTTCAAGGATCTAGAAATAGAAATACCATTTGACCCAGCAACCTCATTACTGGGTATATACCCAAAGGATTATAAATCATTCTATTATAAAGATACATGCACATGTATGTTTATTGAGGCACTGCACTCAATAGCAAACACTTGGAACCAACCCAAATGCCCAGCAGTGATAGACTGGATAAAGAAAATGTGGCACATATACACCATGGAATACTATGCAGCCATATAAAACGATGAGTTCATGTCCTTTACAGGGACATGTATGAATCTGGAAACCATCATTCTCATCAAACTGACACAAGAACAGAAAACCAAACACTGCATGTTCTCACTCATAAATGGGAGTTGAACAATGAGAACACATGGTCACAGGGAGGGGAACATTGCACACTTGGGTCTGGGGGTAGGGGTTAGAGGAGGAATAGCAAGGGCTGGGGGAACTGGGGAGGGATAGCTTTAGGAAAAATACCTAATGTAGATGATGGGGCGATGGATGCAGCAAACCACTACCATGGCCTGTGTATACCTATGTAACAAACCTGCACGATCTGCACATGTACCCCAGAACTTAAAGTTAAATAAATAAATAAATAAAACTCCTTCTGGATCCCATTGTGCTCTCCTGCACCTCTATGAAACAAAAGCCTTTGAAAGAGTTGATTACACTTGCAGTCACAAACTGTTCTCCTTCCATTCTCTCTTGAATCCATTCCAGTCACATCTGTTCCTCCATCACTCACCTGGGGCTATTATACTCAAGGTCATTAATGATCTATATTGCTAAATCTAATGGTCAACTACAAGTCCTCATCTCAACTGATTGACTGGCAACTTCTCATTCTGTTGGTCACCTCCTTGAAACACTTTCCTTTCTTGGCTTCCAGTATACTACTATTCTAGCTTTCCTCCTATCTTGCTGGCTGCTGTGTCTCAGTCTCCTCTGCCTATGGGTTTCTCCTCTTCTCAATCTTTTAATAATAAAGAGCCCTAGTGATCAGTCCTTAGATCTCTTTCATTTACACTCACTCCCTTGGTGGTCATACCTAGTCTTATGGTTTTATATCTATCTATCTATCTATCTATCTATCTATCTATCTATCTATCACCTATCTATCTATCTATCTATCTATCTATCTATCTATCTATTTATCTATCTACCTACCTATCTATCTTTATCTAGCTCTCTATCTGCCTGCAGCCTGGGCTATTCCCTGAGCTCCAGGCTCAAATGATCCAGATGTCTAAGCAACATACATTCATCTTATACAATACAAATGTGAACTCCTGACTCCCCATCTCCCATCACCCAGTAACACCAAACCTACTCCAGTGTCAGTATTTCCCATGTCAATTGATGCCAACTTCATCCTGCCAGTTGTTTAGGGCAAAAACATTGGTGTCATCCTTGACATTTTTTGCCTCTTATTGTCCACATCCAATCTATCAGTAAATCCTATTGTCTCTACCTTCAAACTGAATCCAGCACCTTAAATGCCTGTAATCTTCTCTGTTGCTGTAATCACTGGAGTAACCTTACAACTAATCTCCCTGCTTCTACCGAAATCTATACCCCCAATGCTCTGTTTTTAGCACCATGACCTAAGCGATCCTTTTAAAGACATAAGTCAGATCTAAGCAGACCCCATAACAGCTCCCCAATTTACTCAAGAGCCAGATTCCTTGCATTGACCAACCAGGCCTTATACCATGTGGCCCTTTACCACTCTGGAGTCATCCTCTACCACTTTATCCCATTATTCCTTTATTACTCTGCTTTAGGTTCACTGGCTTCCTTGTTCCTTCTGACAGGCTGGGCATCCTCCAACCTCCAGGCATCTGCATTAGCTGTAATTTCTGATCAGAATGCTCTTCCTCATATACCCACACCCTATAGTCTCATCACCCTATAGTCCTTGCTCATATGTTAATTTCTTAGTGACACCTGCCCTGAGTTCCTTATTTAAAACTGTACCCCCATTCAAGCCTTCTCTATTCCTGTTACCCTGATTTTTTGCATATATCTGGTCACCTTCTATATACTATGTTTTTTATTTATATTTCTTCTCTATTCCTCCCAGGCATGCTGCTAATGTAAGTTCCTTGAGAAATCAGATTTCTTTTTCCTCTTATGTTCACTGCTGTATTCCCAGTGCTTATAAAAGTGCCTGGCATATCATAGGTGTTCAGTATTTATTGAAGGAGTGAAGAATGGGTGAATGAATTCCATTCATTCTCCTGCTCAACAACCTCATTCTGATCCTTTAAATATTTTAATGTACCTTTAAAAAATTATATAGGGGTTTCTCCAGTGAGTCACCATTCTCTGACATGGCATGCTGTTGTTTGATGCCGTGCCTTTGTTCCTGTTGTACTCTCAGCCTGGGGAAGCCTCTCCACTCCCTACCTCCTTCCAGACTAGCACCTGCTCATCCTTTGGAACTCAGCCTACATATCATCTCTCCTAGAAACTTTCCATGAACATTCCCCAAAACTAGATTAAGTGCCCTCCTATGTACTTTCACCTTATTGCTTCTAATGAGTTTTTACATGACTGTCTCTCCCAGAGTTCATGAGCTTCATGAGACAAGGCCTGTGAATTGTTCACTGTTATCTCTCTAGTGCCTGGCATAGTGCCCAACACTTAGTAAGTGCTTGAATATTTGAACTGTTGAATGTAAGACTCAGCTCAAAGTTTTTTTATTGTGACCCTTTTAGGGACCTCCTTATCAACTAGTCTTCATTCTAGGCAGCATTCATTCCATGCAAATGAAAGGCAGTGGAGGTTGGAACAGGCCACAGGACTAGAGCAGACTCTCAGGTGGGTTATCCTTAAAGATCTCAATCATAACAGGGAAAAGACAGGGAGATTCTATCATCTGGTTTTGACATCTGCCATATTTAGCCTTGTGCTTTTAATAAACACTCCTAAAGGAAGGAGCGCCATGGCACTCTAAAAGACAATCCCTCCAGGTTGTGGGCATACACTATATAGAAGCCATCAATGAATTTTGCCTGTGGGCCAAAAATGCATTAGACTCCTGGCCACTGCTTCTTATACTACCATCATGTCCTCATTGCTCCTCTGGGACCAACACACCGTGGGACCGTGATAAGAATTCAAGCCTGACATTTACCTTCAATGCCCCTAAAACAAGCGTCTTTCTTGTCTGTTCAAGTCCCTTTATCCACATTCTAGGGCGGGACTGGGAGGAGTCATGTGGAATGCTGACCCATCTGAAATAAAATGTGATTTAAGCTTCTCTACCACATAAGAAGTATTTTTTAGGTCCTTAACTCTCTCTCTCTCTATCATATAACACATTGAAAACAAAGAGGCACAAACAGGTGACTCGTTGCTTAAAGGTATAAAGTATATTTGGAGAATGCCCTGCTTCACATGCTTGTTAGTGGGAATGACAATGAAAGCCTTTTTCAGGGGGATGCGGAGGTTCAGGAACTTATGAACTCCTTTTTCTTGGAATGAGTATTCTTGTATAAACCAATGCCTTCTGCTGAGGTGAGCTGAGACGTGGGATAGATTTCCTGGTTGAGTGGCACAAGTAATTTGAGGACAGAGTTTGGAGCATTTGTAAGAGTGGCACAGGACCCAGGATTGGCTGACTAAAGGGAGTATCACTAGAACAGATTATTTAGGTACTGGGGGGCATCACGGAAGATCAGGCCTTCTTTCTCAGTAGAGGGAGACTGAGCCTCAGGGTCCTCTGTTGTCTTCTCTGTTGTAGCACCCCACACATGATCTTTCGTGACAGTTGGACTCTTCTCAGTGTTTTCTGTCCTGTCTTGGGTCACTCTTAGAAAGAAGAATGGATTTTTCATGCCTTCGATCTTTCGTTTCAGGGTTAATCCAGTGCAGAAACAGCTTCATCTTGTTATCCAAGTGAACTTCTGGAGCTTCTGGAAGGATGGCACTCTTGTGAGTATGGACTGCCCTTACCAGATCCTGTAACACTTGGCCCTAGAAAGTGTGGCCCTGCAAATTTTGCCCTGAAAAATATGGCCCTCAACTATTTAACCCTGAAAACTTTGGATCAGAAAAAAATTACCCCTTCAAATACTGTACTTGCAAAATTTTAGCCCAGTAAGTTGGCCCTTTAAGCTCTGGGTGCTCCAAGGTTGGCATTCTCAGGAATCCTTGTTTGGTTGAGGTTATTCAGCTTACTCTAACAGCTTTGAAAATTATTCTTACCTGGTTCTTTAGCCCCAAGTAATCCTGGAGGATGCTCTTATAACTCAGGGTATGGGGAAGCTGGTGAAATAACAATAGCCAGCCCTGAAAACATGGAAATGGGGCCCTGCAGATCCAAATGGATCCTTGCTAGTCCCTGCTCAAGGCAGCCATCTTAGCTAAACTAAAGTTTTATCTGAGAAAGGTCCTCGAGATATATTTGGCAAGTTGTGAGCTCTGAAGTTCTTCTTAGAAGTGCCCCTACTGCCCCTGAACCTTGGCAGAATGGGTCTTCTATCTGGCTGGGGAGATCGCCAATGCTGTACCCCCTTCTCTGTGATTCCAAGCTGCTTTGAATGTCACTGAGTCATCTGTTTTCTCTGCTGGGGTAGGGACTTGTCTTCACTCTTGCAGAGACCTCGTCTAAGAGATTCAGGGCCCTCCAGGCTGGGTTGTTCACTCTAGCCTCCAGCTGAACACATAATACCTGGGCCTCTGTCATGCCCTCACTGGGTATGAGATCCCAGAATCCCAGTGGGCATGGGGTACTACTCTGGAACTAGATTGCATGTAGCTCTGCCACACTGTCTTTGGTTCAACTGCAAGCTATTCTTTTAGGCCAACCCATTCTGGATCTGGGGCAATGAGAGCTCCAGAGCATCCTCCAGGATTACTTGGGACAAAAAGACCAAGTAAGAATAATTTGCAAAACTGTTAGAGTAAGTTGAATAAGCTGAACCAAACAGAGGGTACAGGATTGGAGCTTGTTAGTGGGATAGGGAGTTTCTGGAGCAACGTTTTTCCTTGGTTTAGCAATCTTTAGACTCCTAAAGGATTCCTGAGTGGAGATATTCTTTGGGATGGTTGAAATTTGTCCCCTGGACTCCCTTGTCTTTTGAAACTTCCCAAATGTATCTCAAGGAATTCCTTTCTCAGGTAGATAGTGGGTTTGGCCAAGATGGGTGCCTTTAGTGGTTAGGGGCTGTGAGGATCTGTCTGCCTCTCTAGTGGTACCATCTCTATCAGCTTGTATTTCAGTCCAGAACACTTGTACATTATCTACACAAGCCTCATTGGTGTCTTGAAAGGATGACCCAGGACTTATATATTGCTGTTCAGATGAGACTGAATCAGTGGCTCTGATGGGCTCAGTCTGTGATTGTGGATTGGTGAGTGACTGCCTGGACCACAGTCCTGGAAGCAGCCACATAATAGAGAGCAGGCAGCCCTGACAGAAAGGCAAAAACTTGTCTCAAGTTTCTTAGTCGCTTCGTGGAACAGGCTCTGGGCAGCTCAGGATCATCAGTAACAGCATCTGGTAAGGCCTGTTGCTGCTGGTCAGGGCCTGTTGGTATTGAGAGTGTCCCTTCCTGATCTGTGTAGGGGCTGATGTGTCACTCCCAGGTCCAGGTGTTTGCTTTCTAGAGGACAGGGGCACCAAGTTGCTGCCCAAGCCCTTGGAATACTGCAGATCCAGTGATTTGCAGTCCCAGCAATGGCAGATGTGGGCAGGGATAATGCCCTAGCAGATCTTCCCACATTTGTAATCTATGTGTAGCTCCCCACACATGATCTGTTGGCTCTGCAACATTACCTTGGCCTGAGGAAACAATTGTGGACTGGCCCTGCTGCCACAGTGGATTAGGGCAGGCCACTATTCCCACTAGCCTCTAGTGCTTCATGCTGGGGAGACTCCCATAGGTCAGGGCTGTGCTGTTCCAGGGCAGGGATTACTGGTCATCAGGTCACAGGAGCAACTGGATAGACTGCTGGATCTTTTGGATCAGGTCCCAGCAATGGTAAATTAACCCTCTATTTCAATTGCTCCTGGAGGTGGAATCCTAGCAGCCTCTGGGCATGCTCCAGGAGAATGCTGCCTCCCTCTTGAGGACTAACATGGATTTCCCCAATCAAAGAGGTCCTAGATCTAGTGGGAAAGTCTGCAACATGCCAGGGTTTACATCATATGATTTCCTGCATCTACAGAGATCTCTGGACAACAGCTGGCAAACTCCACTGAAGCTGGAGCTGCCTCTACAGCAGGTGCCATTCCAAGGCTTTCACTTAGCCTGAGTCAGATACAGGACATTGATCTGGATTTCTCAATGGTCAGATGGAGAATGTGGGGAAAAGGGTGGGGAAGGATGGGAGGATTTTCAGTACAGAGATGAAGGAGAAATCATTGAAGAGAAAGGGCCAAGGGCTCCCCTGTTGTGGAGATCTCTAAAGGCAGACCGGGAACTTACTGTGCAGAAAAGAGAAACTACAGTAAGGTAGCTACAGATGTGGCACACTGAGGCCTCAGTGCATCCCCCCAGGAAATGGACAGAGGCCACTTAGAAGCCCAAAGAGGGGAGAGGGTGGAGCTAGAGCCATGGGGTTTGGGATTTGTTCACAGGAATTTTTCTGCTCTGAGTCCGTAGTGGATCCTTCAAAAACTCTGAAAGCTAGAGTGGACCAGCTAACCTCCCATGAAACTCAGAGTCAAGGGATGGAAGCTCATCTCTTCAACTGAGGCCTTAGAAATCGCATTCAGGGTGAAAGAAGTGGCTGTCTGTCTGTCTGTTTTCCACCCTTTGGAATATTAGAAGCAGTGTGGCATAAGCTGCCACAGAAACTCCTCCACAGATCTTGGAGTCCTCAATTGTGGGAATATGTGTGTTAATATCCTTGTACTTGAAGATTTCTCAGGACCTTTTGGACATTGCAATAGCAGTTTAAAGGAATGCAGGGTCATAGGGTGTTGTTTTAGGTTTGGGACCTCTGGGTTCAGAGAAAGAAAGGGAATCTAGTATTCAAATTTGTCCTGACGTTGGTCCTCCAGGACAAATTTGGAGTTGTTTTCCTTGCTCTCCTGCTGGCTCAGAGGAATTCCATGCTTCTCAAAGTTTGAAGACAGAGATCCCATGCCCTGGGACACAGCAGGACTTGAGATCCCTGACCTCACTGAAAGTGATCAGCCCAGGAATCTTGGATGCTGTCTGCACCAGCTGACTGGGTTGCTGACTGGGTTAAAGATTTCTGATCCGTTAATTGTGACAGTGTTGTTGTTACAGATGCCAGTGAATGCTCTTTGGATTTCTCGGAACCCAGATCCTGACTCTGCTCAAAAGACACGCTAGAAGTGGACAAAGCCTCTAGGCAAGAGGAGCCCTGTGATGGCCCCAGTGAAGTCAGGGAGATCAGGCTGTTCTCACTCGCCAGCAATTGCTGAATATCCGGGGCCATAGCATTGCAGATTTGGCAGCAGGGTTCCGCACACAGGATTCACCACACACTTCCTTCCTGAGGAAGCCAGCCCTGGCTGGGAAGAGAAACATGACAAACATTAATGATAGAGTGGCATCTGCCTTCTCAGAAGAGTGTGGGACAGGGTTGGCACTGTCCTTTCCTAGACCTGAAAATCCTGGGGCCTACACTCTCTTGTTGTCTACGTCTCTGCTTTTCTTCCTAAGAAAATGCCATTTGGAGGCCAGACACAGTGGCTCACAGTTGTAATTCCAGCACTTTGGAAGGCTGAGACGGGTGGATCACCTGATGTCAGGAGTTCGAGATCAGCCTGGCCAACATGGTGAAACCCTGTCTCCACTAAAAATATAAAAATTAACCAGGCATGGTAGTGCATGCCTGTAGTCCTAGCTACTCAGGAGGCAGAGGTAGGAGAATCACTTGAACCTGGGAGGTGGAGGTTGCAGTGAGCCAAGATCGTGCCATTGCACTCCAGCCCGGCAACAAGAGTGAAACTCTGTCTCAAAAAATAAATAAATAAAATAAATAAAAAGCAAGAAAAGAAAAGAAAAACAAAATGCCATTTGGCAAGGTGGGCTGGGTTGAAGGTCTGGAGCTTGTTGGGCAAGGCTTCAGAAAACCCATGGGAGGGCACGGCCCTCAGAGAGGGTTGGGACCTGGGGTCAGTTCTCTGTTGACCTTGTTGAAAAGCTGAACTAGGAGAAACAAGCCAGGTGGTTAGCTGATGGTGCATCACCAGGAACATCACCAGTTAGATCCCGGACCAGTTTCATTTTAGGCTAAGAAAGCCAAAGCCTGGTATTTGAGCTTGAAGTTCAAGCAGGATCTCTGCATTCTGAGGGCTATTTGGTATCCCTGCTGATGTACCCAACAACTTTTGGGAATCAATCCTGTTCTCTAGAATTATTAAGAAGAAAAGATGACAGGCTGCCATCTGAGGGCTATCTCTCTAATGACAGAACCAGAGGAGGTAATGTCAGCAGAGTCTAGTCAGACTCAGAGGAGAGAGAACAATGAGAATAAGACAGGGATGACTTCTTTATCCAAAATTCCTCTTGACTGGATAACTTATCTCATGGCTGAATGCAACCCCATGTAGAGTCTTTTATGAATTATGCACTAGTACGGGCCTGAATTACAGAACTACTGTGACCCTAGCCCGAAGCAGAATTGTGTGACTCTTCCCTCCTGAGATGTCTGGCCCAGCCCTCATGTCTTGTTGACTCTGTCAACTAGTGAACCAGCCTCCACTGTGTATGTCTCCCTCCCAGCCTTTACCCCTCTTCTCATCTCTACCCCAAGCCAAGCTGAGAGATGATCACAGACCAGGCTAGCAGCTGGGAGACTGCAAAGAACAAGAGATTACCTTTTCATGAGAAAGAGCAGCTTCCACAACTTCTCGGCTTTTTCCTGGGAAGTTCTCCTAGCTGAGGAAACAGGAGATAGTGTTATGTGGAACAGGAGAGGATTCAGGGACATTCTATAAGAAGCTGAAGGCCTTTTAATGAGAGGATACTGAAACCCCCAAGAGTCAGAACACGAAGTCACATCTGTGTCCAACTTAACCGTTTACAATGTGTTGTTCTGGATTCATCTCATTTGTTCTTCACCATCACACTGGGAGTGAGGAAGGATCATCAGATGCCCATTTTGTGGAGAACAAGACTGAGAGTTGAAGTGACTTCCGTAGGGTTGTAAAACTAGTTCCTCATTCTTTATTCTCAGGAGGATAAGATAGAGAATTTTTTTAATCCTTTGGTTTTCCACCCAGGAAAGTCTTTCATGAGAAATTGTCCCATGGGGGTACTAGAGCCTGCAGTGGTTAGAGCACCTGGCTCTTAGCACAGGGGTCATAGAAGGCCAGGATCCATGGGAACGTTATCCACAGTGGAAGTGAATCGGAGGAGAGACTGGGACTTTACCTTTTGATGTTGTATCTCTAGACTTTTTTTTTTGACTCGTTGGTGACACTTAAAGACAAAAACATTAAACATAAAACTGCTACCCCATTTTTCCTGTATCTAAAATGAAACGAAACTCATAAACATTTCCCAGTCTTTTTTTGCGTTTCAATTTTATGTACTCTTCTACCTTTCCTTTGTATGTTCTTTTCACCCCAAGACTTTCCTTATTTGCTTATTTCTGATTCACTTTCAGGCTCTTCCATACTCCATGCCTCCCACCCCCATTCCTTTGATAAGTTCTGTGGGGACTTTAGGATGGGACAGGAGGAAAAGTGGAGCAGATTAAAGGATGGATGGGTCTAGAAGCCAAAGGAATTCAGCCATCAAGTGGCTCTAAATGACCCCAACTGAAATAATTACCCAACTTGGGAGCTTTTCTGGTATCCAGTGAGGAAACCCCCTTAAAAAAGCAAGGAGTGGAGCAGAGTAAACAGGGCTGGCTCCCCTTCTGATCGAGGTTTGGAGGACCCACACGGGTCCCCAGCACGACTCCTGAGGCCGGTGCAGCGGTTGTGACGGCACCTCGGTGCAGCAGCTCTCAGCGCAGAGTAAACGAGACTGGTTCCACTTCTGACCAAGGTTTGGAGCCCCAGGAAGGCAGAGTCGCCTATTATGGACACAAGAAGGAAGCCAGACAGGCGAATCCTGGGCAGAAAAGCACCATCAATCTTAACGCAGCTGTTCTGGCCCTGGGAACTAACAACTTGGACGTCCACTCAAGAGACCTAATCTGAAAGTAGGTAATTTCAAAGACGACAGGAGGATAAATTTACAATCATGGGAAGAAACCAGCATAAAAAGGCTGAGAATACTCAAAATCAGAACGCCTCTCCCTCTAAAGATGATCACAGTTCCACATCAACAATGGAACAAGGCTTGATGGAGAACGAGCGCATTTCAATAACAGAGTCATGCTTCAGGGAATGGATAATAAGAAACTTCTGTGAGTTAAAAGAACACGTTGTAGCCCAATGTAAAGAAACTAAGAACTTTGAAAAAAGGTTTGATGAAATCCTATTGAGAATAGACAACTTAGAGAGGAATATAAGTGAATTAATGGATCTGAAGAATACAATGCAGGAACTCCGAGAAGTATGCACAGGTTTAAACACTCAAATTGTTCAAGCAGAAGAAAGGATATCAGAGGTCAAAGTCCAACTTAACGAAATAAAACGAGAAGACGAGATTAGAGAAAAAAGGATAAAAAGGAATGAGCAAAGTCTCCAAGAAATGTGAGACTATGTGAAAAGACCAAATTTACGTTAGATAGGTATACCTGAAAGCGACGGAGAGAATGAATCCAAGCTGGAAAATACCCTTCAGGATATTATTCAGGAAAATTTTCCTAAACTAGCAAAGCAGGTCAATATTCAACCCCAGGTAATACAGAGAACACCACAAAGATATTCCTCAAGAAGAGCAACCCCAAGGCACATAATCGTTAGATTCACCAGGGTTGAAACGAAGGAGAAAATACTAAGGGCAGCCAGAGAGAAAGGTCAGGTTACCCACAAAGGCAAGCCTATCAGACTTAGAGCAGATCTCTCAGCAGAATCTCTACAAGCCAGAAGAGAGTGGGGGCCAATATTCAACATCCTCAAAGAACAGAACCTTCAGCCCAGAATTTCATATCCAGCCAAACCAAGCTTCACAACTGAAGGAAAAATAAAATCTTTTATGAACAAGCCAGTACTCAGAGATTTTATTACCACCAGGCCTGCTTTACAAGAGCTTCTGAAAGAAGCATTACACACAGAAAGAAACAACCAGTATTAGCCTTTCTAAAAATATACCAAAAAGTAAAGAGCACCAACATAAAGAAGAATTTACATCAACGAATGGATAAAACAGCCAGTTAACATCAAATGGCAGTAATCCTAAATTTAAATTGACCAAATCCCCCAATCAAAAGACACAGTCAAAACTCAACGGCATGTTACATCCAGACCTGTTTCACATGCAAGAATACACAAAGACCCAAAACAAAGGGATGGAGAAAGATTTACCAACCCAATGGAGAGCAAAAATAAATAAATAAATAAATAAAAAGCAGGAGTTGCAATTCTTGTATAGGATAAAATAGATTTTAAAGCAACAAAGATATAGTGGTAAAGGATCAATGCAACAGCAAGAGCTAACGATCCTAACACCCAGATACATAGAGAATTAGATTCAATGAGACAGAAAATTAATAAGGATATCAAGGACTCAAACTCAGATCTGGAACAAGTAAACTTAATAAATATTTATAGAGCTCTCCACTTCAAATACACAAAATATACATTCTTGTCAATACCGCATCACATCTACTCATAAGTTTAAATGAAACATTGATTGGCCATTATTAATGCCCATTTTTTTCAGAATAAAGCAATATTTCCGTTCACCCTCCCTCTTTCTCTTCCTCTTTCTTCCTCTCCTTTACTCATTTTTTCTCTCTTTCCTTCTCTCAAAAAAAGAGAGAGAGAAAAAAAAGAAATCAACTTTTAAACCTCTAGATCCAGGTCGGCAATGTCTCTCATTGCTTGATTTCCTTCCTTCCCTTCCCTCCCCCTCTCCCTCCCTCCCCCCTTCCTCCCTTCCTTCCTTCCTTCATCCCTTCCTTCCTCCCTCCCTTCCTCCTTCCCTCCCTTCCTGCCTTCCTCCCTAAAAAAAAAAAAAAAAAAAAAAAAAAAAGCAAGGAGTAAGAGTAACAAGAGAAAGCTGGGGGATAAAATCTTGTTTGAGGCATATCAATTTAGCCATGGTCATAGTGGTTCCCTACCCGGCAACAGCTCCTGTTAGGTCCCAACCTTAATTTTTGGTGGCTCTTTTTCACTTGCCAAATAAATAATGCAATAATGCAGATGGATCCATAGGTGTATAAGGGATATCCAACATCCCACAAAACAAAGGTAGGACTCAACATGATCTAAACCTCACTAGCCATCCCTCTCCCTAGTCTTTCACTGTCTTGAAACCTAATGCCTCCAGATTCTACACCTTGTCATTTCTGCCTCACAGAAGAGGGATCCAAACCACCAGATTGCATCACAAAGCCCTCCTGTTCCACAAGACAGGGATAGCATCACAGACCTTTATCTGTTTTTAGAGAAGCTTACTGTGGTGATTCAGTGTTCACATGAGGGTATCTGGTGCTCTGTATTGGCTACAGAGCCTGGGGCAAAAGATGCCAAGGTCAGGGGCAGCATGTACCTTTTCATGTTTTCTCTATACCCTTATGGCTCAACTCTCTCCTTCACTACAATGGCCTGACACCTATCCCTAGATAACTGAGTCTCTATGCACACTATATGTCCTATAAGACAGATAGTGGATAGATCAGAGGAACTCTATGAACTGTACTGGGAAGGTAACAAAAACAAACAAACAAACCTGAGGATAGGGCAGGCATCATATTGTTAAATCTTGGAAACAGATTTTTAATGTCAGCAGCAATGATATATGGTCAGTACTGAGAGGTTCAGAAAGAAGACAGTATATGATGTATCAAGGAAAGGACAAAGCTGTTTTTTTAAATAACTTTCAGAGAGTTAAAGAAGGACTCCTCGCAGTCTGTGTGGTCCAGCCTTAGATGGGTGAGCAGAGATTGTAAGCACTACATTTCATTGGAAGCACATGAATGAGGCTCACTTCTGGAGCTCTGTACAAGACTTGATTTTCCAGAATTGCTTCTACAGATTTTATACCATCTAGTCTGTTCATGGAGATGAGTTATTGGGAAGACTTTCGATTAAGGTTCACAAACTTGTGATTCTTCGGTTGAATGTTTGCCTGAAAGAGTGTTTTATGAAAATATGAATTTGAATAACTTTAGGCAGAGCAGGATTTCTCCCCGTTCAACCCCTGGTACCTACCACTCCTATGCCCACTGATTCTCTCCTTTACTACATTAATGTTAACTTCATGACCCCTGACAATATTATGGCATACCTCCAACACCCTAGCATTTCTGAATTTCTTTGAGAAGTTCTTGCCCTGTTAAGAGTGGTTGGTCTTAGGCTCAAAATCCCTGAGAAGGGGCAGTTGCTCACACCTGTAATCCCAGCACTTTGGGAGGCTGAGGTGGGTGGATCACCTGAGGTTGGGAGTTCGAGACCAGCCTGGCCAACATGGTGAAACCCCATCTCTACTAAAAATACAAAAAATTAGCCAAGTGTGGTGACAGGTGCCTGTAATCCTAGATACTTAGGAAGCTGAGGCAGGAGAATCACTTGAACCCAAGAAGTGGAGGTTGCAGTGAGCCAAGATCATACCACTGCACTCCAGCCAGGGAGAAGGAGTGAGACTCTGCTTCAAAAACAAAGTCTCTGAAAAGGTTATTTGATCCTTCCTCCAGCATTTGTTCCTCCACCTGGTAGGAATAGTGAGCACTCAATAAGTGCTTAACCCTAAGTTGGGCAGTCGAGGACACAAAGACATTTGAGTTGTGTTGCCTACCTGCTCTCAAGATTCTTAAAAATCTAGTTTCAAAGACAAGGCATTCACAAGAAGCAAAAGCCAACCTTTTGCTGGGGAAGGGGCTGGAGAAGGGGGAAATAAACCATTAATGTTTAATGGGTACAGAAGTTTCTGTTTGGGGTGACGAATACAACCATCTTGTTCATAAGTGAATGCCCTTAAGGGCGTTGAATTGTACACTTAAAAATAACTAAAATGGTAAATTTTATGTTAAGTATATCTTGCCATAACTTAAAAACAACCAAAAAATTAATTAGCACAAGGGCTTCTTTTTGAACTAAGCTATAAGGAAAAATATTCTCAAAATGATCTGACAAACAAATGGATTAGTGAATGTTTTTCTCTTTTAAAAATTTTTTATTTCCATAGGTTATTGGGGAACAGGTGGTGTTTGATTATGTGAGTAAATTCTTTAGTGGTGATTTGTAAGATTTTGATGCACCCATCCCCCAAGCAGTATACACTGCAGCCTATTTGTAGGGTTTTTGTTTGTTTGTTTGTTTGTTTGTTTTGAGACAGAGTTTCGCTCTTGTTACCCAGGCTGGAGTGCAATGGCATGATCTTGGCTCACTGCAACCTCCGCCTCCTGGGTTCAGGCAATTCTCCTGCCTCAGCCTCCTGAGTAGCTGGGATTACAGGCATGTGCCACCGTGCCCAGCTAATTTTTTTTATTTTTGGTAGAGACGGGGTTTCACCGTGTTGACCAGGATGGTCTCGATCTCTTGACCTCGTGATCCACCTGCCTCGGCCTCCCAAAGTGCTGAGATTACAGGCGTGAGCCACCGCGCCTGGCCCCCCTATTTGTAGTTTTATCCCTTACCCACCCTCCCACCCTTCCCCCAAATCCCAAAAGTCCATTGTATTTTTCTTATGCCTTTGTGTCCTCATAGCTTAACTCCAACATATCAGTGAGAACATACAATGTTTGGTTTTCCATTCCTGAGTTACCTTGCTTTGAGTAATAGTTTCCCATCTCATCCAGGTCACTGCAAATGCCATTAATTCATTACTTTTTATGGCTGACTAGTACTCCATCAAATATATATACACTACAGTTTATCCACTCGTTGACTGATGGGCATTTGGGCCGGTTGCTTTCACGTTTTCGCAATTGCGAATTGTGCTGCTATAAACTTGCATGTGCAAGTATCTTTTCCAAATAATGACTTCTTTTCCTCTGGGTAGATACTTAGTAGTGGGATTACTGGATCATATGGTAGTTCTTCTTTCAATTATTTAAGGAATCTTCACACTGTTTTTCATAGTGGCTGTACTAGTTTACATTCCCACCAACAGTGTAAAAGTGTTCCCTGATCACCACATCCATGCCAACATCTACTGTGTTTTGATTTTTTTATTATGGCCATTCTTGCAGGAGTAAGGTGCATTGCAGTTTTAATTTGCGTTAGTGAACGTTTTTCCTAAATGTCCTTCTTATACCTACAAAAGGAAAATAGATCTTCATATAAAGGATAATTTAAGAGGAGTCCTACCTGAAAATGGAATGAATTTGAGCTATTTCAACATCTTTCCTGAACTTGCAAATTCCATAATACAGGAATGAGAAAACTTTTTCAACCAAAGAGCACTGAATGAAAGGTTAACAAAAATCAATTAAAAAGCAGCTTGAGTCAGCTTCTTAGAAGCAGGTCATCAACATACCTGCAAAGTAGCCTAGATCCTTCATTACTTTTATTACTCCTACTTAACCAACTGCTGCTGCCTTCTATGCGCTGTAACAGTTCTATCACCCATTAGCCTGACCTCTTGCTTGCGGCAGAATCACCACGTTCTGCAAATCCTGCACCTGCTCCTGACAGTGCACTACTTATCTCACAGAAAACCCACAGCTTCTGCCCTTCCACCAAGCCATTAAAACCATCTGCTGCAAACTCCTCTCCAGCTATTCACCTGGCCCTTGCTCCTCTGCCTCAGAGCTGAGGAATTAGGGCCAAGGGCTGAGCTAAAAATGGTCTCATGCCCTTTTGCAAGTTAGGCCTTGAGCATAGGTTTATTTACTGGTTTGGGACTCATTGACAAGGGTGCTTGTGGGGACAGGACAGTGGGATCAATGTCTTCCTAAACAACGGCGCATTTATGTAATGAACACAGCTAAGCCTGGCATTTTTCACGATGTGGGTATGGATCATCACATTTGCCCTTCCTGCCTCGTGGTTGAGAGCAAACAGCAAACAAGGGAGATGAAGTGCATGAAAAGCCTCTGCGGATGCTGGAGGGCTACACAACTATCAAGGATTCTTCATTTGCTTCTAGAAAACTTGCTTTAAGCCAGACCCTGCTTTCATTATAATGTTGCAGAGCCAGAATTGCAATAGAATTTCTTCAAGAAACGGTTCATGGCTACCAATTCATATGTACCATGGGTCCTGTCGCCTTGTAAAGAAAAATGTGACTGACATGCCACTGATGTCTTGTCCCTTCACACAAGCCTTACAAAAGAGCTTTGCTGTGTCTCATACTCAGAAAATACTAGTGAACACCTTAAATGTACGAAGGTTCCAGGGACAGAGATGCATAGCTGCTGCGACTCAGCAGCAACACTTTTATCGATGAGCACCTTTGTTGATGCCCAAGAAGCTGGAATCTCAAGGGAATTGGTTAGGAAGCCCCAGAGTAGTGTCAGGCAGCAAAACCACCGGAGCTCACATAGCTGAGCGGGAGTCTGGCGAGTAGCAGTAGTTGGCTGCTAGAGGCACTAGAGGGCAGCACCTGCCCACCCAATACTCCGAGTCCTGCGATGTCTCCGCCCCATAGGCGCTTTCAGTGACTCTCAGTCACGGCCTTACATTAGAATCACTAGGGGCTTGTTAAAAATACAGATTTCCTGGTTTCACTTCAGACTAATGAATCAGAATCTCTAGAGGCAGAGTCCAGCAACCTCTATATTAAATAAGTATCAAAAATAATCCTTAAGCAAGAAGGCACTGAGCTATGAATTTGTATTTGAGACTCTGATGAAACTATGTCCCTCCTCCACACTCAAAATTTGATTGAATTTCAGAGGCATTGACTCCACTTATGAAAACCGTGGAGAACTCAAAGAGCCTAGTTAAGAAATTTGAATACAATTTATGCCAAGCCAAAGACTATCACTCAGAGGTGGGAGCCTCAGCAAGGACAGGGTCCTTAATGCAACAAAAGCCAAAATAGGCAAATGGGATCTAATTAAACTTAAGAGCTTCTGCACAGCAAAAGAAACAATCATTAGAGTGAACTGGCAACCAACAGAATGGGAAAAAAATTTTGCAGGCTACCCATCTGACAAAGGGCTAATATTCAGAATCTACAAAGAACTAACACAAATATACAAGAAAAAAAACAACCCCATCAAAAAGTGAGCAGAAGATATGAACAGACACTTTTCAAAAGAAGATATTTATGTGACCAACAAACATATGAAAAAATGCTCATCCTCACTAGTTATTAGAGAAATGCAAATCAAAACCACATTGAGATATCATCTCATGCCAGTTAGATGGTATCTCTCTACCATTATAAAATCAGGAGACAACAGATGCTGGAGAGGATGTGGAGAAATGGCAATGCTTTTACACTGTTGGTGGGAGTATAAATTAGT